GGCACGGGCACCGTAGCCAGCCCGTGCCCCTTTAAGGGCTCCGGGGCCAGGAGGGGGGCAGACGAGTTTCCCTGGTGGTGGCCAGAGTGGCCACCAGGGAAAGCTGGGGAGGGCTAGCCTCCCACAAGTTCGAATTAAGTGGCTACACAGCCCTTAATTCGAACTAGCTAATTTGAAGTAGGCATTAGTCCTCGTAAAATGAGGTTTACCTAGTTCGAATTAAGCGCTCCGCTAGTTCAAATTAAGTTCGAACTAGCGGAGCGCTAGTGTAGCGCCTATCAAAGTTAATTTGAACTAACGTCTGTTAGTTCGAATTAACTTTGTAGTGTAGACATACCCCCAGAGACAGCCTGCCTCCGGCACTCCAACCCCACATAACCCAAGCTCTCTGCCCCTCCTTCTCCTCCTCTCCCAGATCTTGCAACCCGAATAACCTGCTCCAGCTTTAAACCCAAGCCCGCTGCCCTTTCTCTTGCACCCCAATCCTCTACCCCAGGTCACAGCCCCCTCCTGTCCTAGATCACAACCCAAACCCTGTCTTCCCTGCAACCCTATCCCCCACAACCCAAACCCTCTGCCTCTATATTCCCTCCCAGATCCTGCACCCCAAACCCTTGCATCAGGGCCCAACCTAAACCCTCTGCCCCCCTCCTGCACCCCAGTCCCCTGCCCCAGGTCCCAACCCAAACCCTCTGCCTCAAGTCACAACCCCCTCCTTACCTAGGTCATGACCCAAACCCCTACACCCTCATCCCCTAACACAGGCCACAACTATCTCCTTCACCCAAACTCCCTTCCAGACCTCATACCCTCCCCTACACCCCAGTCCCTTACTGCAAGATCCCTTCTGCACCCAATCTCCATCCCAGACTCCACACCTTCTCCATTAATATGGAAGAGTGCAGCCCTTGACCACTTTCCAAATTCTTGGAGTGGCCCCCATCAAAAATTATTGCCCCTGCTTGGACTAACTCTGTGTACAGCACTATCGGACACCAGTAATCACCTTACCTTCTTGCACTGGGATTCTGCTAGGGCTACATCTGGGAAAGGACAAGACAGAATAGCTGTATGAAATGAACAAAATGGGCAAGATGGAAGGTAGAAGAGTGAGAGGGTAAATGGCAGCGTTGATCAAAAGGTTTTTGGTTTTTTTTGGGAGAGGCATGCAGTGGGGAAATACACAGTTTTCTTTTTTGATTAAGAGTTGAAATTTTCCACTGAATGTTTTCACCAAAGCATTTTTTCCTCCCAAAATATTTTTCGCCCATTTTTAATCAATTTTTTCCATGGTCATGAGGAGATGTTTTTCTAAGTAAAACAGCAGTAGTATTAGCTTTACAACTGGGGCACTATCAAATTCACATCATGAAAAATGCATCCTGGATTGTAAATCCAGTCCCCCTCTGTGAAATTTAGTCTTTTCTGTGCCTTTACCCGGCCTATTCTATACAAATTTCATGTGGGGAAGTATTCTAGCGTTTCTCAAAAGGGAGTTGCAAGGGGGGGTGTCACAAGGTTATTTTAGGGGGTCACAGTATTGCCACCCTTACTTCTGTGC